CAGCCTCCGCACTCCTCGCCCCGCCCCTCCTCAACGGCCGCGGACCGCTCAGCCAATCACAGAGCGCCCCCTCCTCTCGGACTACAACTCCCAGCGTCCCCTGCGGCGCCCAAGGACTACTATTCCCAGGGAGCCCCGTGGCCCGGGACTCGGAGTAGCCGTAGCAGTATGGCGGCGTCCGGCGCTGGAGGAGACCCTCTAAATCCTAGTAGCGGGAAGGGCCCGGTGGCTCAGCGTATCGACCCAACCCGGGAGAAACTCACTCCCTCGCAGCTGCACTTCATGCGGCAGGTGGAACTCGCCCAGTGGCAGAAGACGCTGCCCCAGCGGCGGACCCGGAACATCGTGACCGGCCTGGGCATCGGGGCCCTGGTGCTTGCTATTTGTATCCGATCTTCCCGTGTGGGGACCGGGAGGAGCTTGTGGGGACGTAGAAGGGACCCGAGCGGTGACGTTCGCAACCACTTTTCACCGAACAATAGCGGGCCAAGTGTTTAAGGTTTGGGTAAAACGGGGGGAATCCCTTGTGTGTGAATCAAGTGAGAGGGCGTGTAATGCTTGCTTTACCATTTCAAAGGGACTCCCTTATTTTTTGGGGGGGAGGGTGATCCTCTTCTAATACGAGGTATTCATAAAAACGGAGTTGGGCTCAGAAGTCGGGCGAGGGTAAAGCAGCATCGTGAGCATATTCCAAGCGGTTTCCTGAACGCGGCCCGCAGATGGTTACACCTTCTACTCGGTGTCCCAGGAGCGCTTCCTAGATGAGCTGGAGGACGAGGCCAGAGCTGCCCGAGCCCGAGCCACGGCTCGAGCGTCAGGCCCCTGATCCGGATGGCCGTCATGCGCCTCGGCCTGCCGAGCCCCTTCACAAGCTGGATGACGCTCCGCGATCCCGCAGAAAATGAAGCTGCTCGCGGCATGGCTGCCCTAACCAACCTCACGCCATGCCTGAACCCCAGCAGCTGGAGACGTCTGCAGTCCACCATCGCAAAAGGGACGTTGTCCACCCCACACTCCCCGTGGGCAGTGGCCAGGCCCATCTTGTAGTTTGTTTTCCTTGTTTGATGATTGTATAACCCTGGTTTTTCCTAAGAGCTGAGGTGTGACTGGTATGGGGGTGGGAGGTGGCAACTCCTAGCTGTATTGGAGCCTGATGTGGGAATGATGGGGTCCAGTTGAATATAATAAACTGAGTCACCTCTCCTGTTGCCAAGTGAGTGTGGTGGGGCTAAGAGACTACAAGGCATTTGATGGTGGAAAGCTTTGCGGGCACTAACTGGCTGTGGCATTGCCCCAGGGAGCTGTAAATGTTTAACTAGACTTACTTTTTCTGTGAGATCTTTCCACCTGATTTAAGAGAGAGATCATGGCAGGTCATTGGGCTGTTGGAGCCTGAACCAGGTCTGGGGGTAGGCGGAGAGTCATTCTCTGGTCTCCACTTCCTTGACCTCAAACACTGAACTTTATCTTTTCTCCTCTACCTGGTCTTTCCCACACCTCGAGCGACAGGTGGATGAAGAACAGTCTTCCTTCTTGTGACTACTACGGGGCCTGCCTGTGCAGGCCAAGGGTGGAGCCTAGAGTGGATGTTGGCATGTTCAAGAGCATCGTTGACCTGGTCCTTTCCTCATGATCTGGGAGGTAGCCAGAGGGTGGGGCAGCTTCTACCTGTCTCCCATTGTGAGAGGAGAGCCCCTTCTCGACTCTCCCTTGCCTCACCCCACAAGTCTTTGTCCACAGGCCTGACAGATATAATCCAGAGTCCTGGTTTCCAGCATGTTTATTGGCTGCGGCTAAGTCTCATGTGAGAACATACCCAGCTGGGAATGGGCATCCGGGCATCTGGAAGCATCCGGGCTTGGGGGGCAGTGCTTAGTGGTTGACCCTCGCCTGGGGAGGTCGCCGGTTTGAGGAGACATGATGGCAGAATTGACACCTTTTACAGCAGTTTCCCTGTGTCTGCCTCTCCCCTAGAAAGGGCCCACACTGTCCACGTCCCTGGCACCATGCTCCCCTCCCAGTGCTGGGTCCTCTTTGCTGAGATGTGTGAGGCACAAAAGCAGCAGATTCTGCGAGCCCTCTGGGAGCCACCGGCTTCTGCTCTGAGTTCACTGGAGGGAAAAGAAAGCGTGCTGTAGAAACGCCGGGGTGGGGTGGAAGGAAGGAGGGCGGCGCTGCAGTGTTAACGCTCCCTGGGCGCTCCCGCCCTTGGGCCCCCCCCTCACCATCCTGCCAACATCCCCGGCGAATGTCACCCCCTTGCTTGCCCGCTGCTCCTGGGAGCCGGTGCTGCTGCCACTCAGGGAGTTCCTTCGCATGATGCCTGGGAGCGGGGCGGGAAAGTGCTGAGTAAGGGAGGGGCCCAGGGGAGCTAGTCCGCCCCCCCCCAACCGAGGGGCAAGACCCTCAGGGCCTGCCAGAAAGCCAGCGTGGTAGGGAGGGCAAAGATGGGAGCTGGGCCGTGGAGGTCTCACCAGGGCCCGGGGCGTCCGAGCGCTGCAGGCTGTTGCGGCGGGAGGAAGGGTAGCTGCCCTTGGAGAGGCGCCGCTGACGGCTGGACAGCATGGCAGCCGGGGCCACGATGCCCGGTGGGGGCTGCTTGCCCAGCCGGCTATACAAGTCCTCAATTTCCTTTTTCTGCAGCGTCTGGAGAGCCTCCACCTCTGACAAGTGCCTGAGGATGGATGGCCAGGGGAGTGAGGGGGCCAGCCCCACTTGGCTCTCCAGAGGCCACCTCTTGCTCCAGACAGCCCCCTAGCGCCCCCAGGCTCACTTCTGCCGCAGGCTCTGCATCTCAGCCCAGAACTCCTCGTCCTCCCCACTGCTCTCCGAGTCCTCACTGCTCAGACACAGGCTGCTGTAGGAGTAGTTCATCCACACGGGGCTGGGGGTGGGCTGGCTCAGAGGTGGGGGGCTGCCTGCTCCTCGGGGCTCCTTCCCCTCGCCCCCTTCCTCCTCAGCTCCAGCCCCCAGGCCCTCGGCTGCACGGTCGCTCTCGGCCAGGGCCTCCCTGGTCTCCGGCCCGCCTCCAGCACTGTCCTCTGTGTCCGAGCTCTCTGAGGCCAGCGGCGGGATGGCAGGCTTCAGAGGACCAGAGGGCTCCGGGGATGGCCGCCGCTGCAGGGGAAGGGGCTCGGCGGGCTCCTTGGACGAGGTCACTTGGAAACGCCCCACAAGCTGGGGCTTTCCCTCTGTGGAGACGGGGAAGGCGGAGAGGGAGACAGTAAGTGCAGGCCACGAATCCACGGGCTGGGGCTGACGGACAGAGGTGAGGCGATCAGTGGTCAGAAGCCTCACCTTCAGAGATGGGTGCCAGTCTGGCTTCCCCTAGGAAGGGCCGAGCAGGATTTGGGGAGACCTACAAAGTAATGGGGGTCAGTGAGGAGGGAAGTGTTCAGAATGGAGCCTCTGTGATCGTCCCTCTTGGCTTCCTAAACTCACCTCGCTCTCCATCTCAGACGTGAGGGCTGGAGGGCGTCCTGGGTCATCAGGGGCAGGGGGAGCAGGGAGGCTGGGAAGGGCTGAAGAAGACTGGGAAAGGAGGCCAGGCGAGGGAGACAGTAAGGACTGAGCCACGGTCATGACAGCCAGCGAGAAGGCACTAGCCAGAGAGAGGAGGGGGGCTGCTGTGCTGGAAGGGTGGTTCTGAGGGACCTGGGAACAACTGAGAGGGCATGTGGGTGGAGAACTTGGGGGGAGAGCGTCCTGAGGAAACGGGGTGGATGGGATTGGGAACTGGGAGACACCGGGGGACAACGGAAGCGGAGAGCAGGGGGGATAGGAGGAGGCCTGGGAAGGACCAAGGGAGGAGCTGGGATGATACGGGGGAGGAGTGATGGGGAAGAGGGGACAAGGGGACAGGGGACTGCCTGGGGAAAATGGGGTTCCAGGAGAAGATGGAGAGGTAGAGAAGGCCGTCCAGCTCCTCTGGTCCAGGGAGGTGCTGCTCCGGGGCTCTGCTGGGGAAGAGGATGCTCTGAAATTCCAGACCCCAGTCCCTTAGGCCCCTCCCAGGCACACCCAGGAGAAACCCAACCCCCCACCCCCACCCCAGAGCTTGGGGAGAACTCAGACTTTACCGCTGGAAGGGTCTGGAAGTGGGCCTGAGAGGGCAGACAACGGTGCCGGCTCCTCCTGAGGGAGAGGGGAAGGGCTTAACTCCTGAGCTGCTTCAGCAGGGACCCACAAGCCTCTAGGGTAAGGTGACCAGACGTCCCGCTTTTGGCGGGACAGTCCCGATTTTTAACAATTATTGCCGCATCCCGCAGCGTTTTTAAAAAATCCCGATTTTTGGAAAGAATGCATGACAAGCTAGGGTGGAGGGTTTTCGGCTGCCATGTGGCTATTTCGCCAGGATATGAGTTTGATCAATGGTGGCCCGCTTTGGTTCCGCTTCACCAGTGTCGCACATGTCTGTGCGGACATCTTTGGAGGTCAGGGGCTTGATAGCCGCAACTTACTCTCACGTGGTTCCGGGGAAAAAAATGGATGCATGCAGAGAGAAGCGAGAGAATGACAAAACTGATGTGGTAAACTATTAACAAGGGTGAAGCTGAGCAAAGCTGGCTAGGAGTCCTCTGCACATTATTTAGAACTTGTTTCTCTGAGGTTATTTCCAAATAAAGAGTTAAAAGCATGTTGAAAACAAGGTGTTTCACTGACAAAACATACAACTCCTCTAGTTCTTTAATGCTTCTTCCCTACCCACTATCATGAGCCCACTTGTACCTTACAAATCTGCTAGACCAGAACATGTGCATGGGTACAGATAATAGCTGGAAACACAGGGAATCCAGGACAGATAAATCCCTCAGGACCAATAATGAGGGTAGGAGGAAGGTGGAGAGGGAAGGGGGGAACCAATCAATGATATAACCCCTCTCACCACCACCCCCGGGGTGAGGGGGAGGCAAACAACAGAAAAGTGGGTGAAGGGGAACCGGTCGGTGTGAGATATGAAAAAGAAAATTATAAATTATCCAGGGTTCATGAGGGGGGCGGGGGAAATGAGGATACCAAGGGCTCAAGTAGACTGAAAATGACAACATCTGTACAAAGGTGCTTGACACATGGATGGATGGATGGATGGATGATGATGAGCTGTGAGCACCCCCAATAAAATGATTTAAGAAAAAAAAAAGGTGTTAGCTATGGATGAGCACCCTTGGCTATCAGATTCTCAAATGGGGTCCATAACCCCAAAAGCTTAAGAGCCAGTTTTCAAGCCCCAGGGATGAGCTAAATCCCAAGACGCTGTGGGGGCAGCGGGTAGGGAGGCCACCACCCATGGGGGTGCCCAGAGAGTCTGACCTGGGGCTCCTGGGTGTCCTCAACGGCCTCCACAGAGCCTGTGTCTCGCCTCAAGAGGGTCTCCACGCGCTGGATAATCTCCCGAATGCGGCGCAGGAAGCCTTCCCGCTCCACGGGTAGAATGAACTCGTTGTACACCTGGTGATGGACGATGGGGGGATGACAGCTGCCCACTGGGCCCTCCCCCTGCCTGTGAGCTTTAGAAACCCCCCTTCACACCACCTGCCTGAAACAGGGGCATGTAAGTTCCCACTGGGCCAGGGGCTGGGTGGAGTAAGGCGAAAGCAGTCTAGAGGAAAGGGGCTAATGGCCCTGGGAAGCAGGTTTGTAGCAGGCACTTTACACATAGGACCACATTTAACACCAGGAACAATCTTCTGGGGTTGGTATTCAACTCTTCATTTTAGACTAAGATTTATTCAAAGAGGTGAAGCTCAATCTGCCCAAGGTGAGAGGATTTGAACTCAGGCCTCTAAGTCCATCTCTCTAAAAGCAGTTTGGATTCTTTCCACAACACAAGTATGTACTTTTGAGCAGGATTCTTGCTTCCAAAGTGTACCAGGCAGGCCCACGTGCACACACAGTCCACAAAGTTATTCACATCTCATCGCTGGGGCTCCCTTTGGGCCCATTTGTTGTTCTAGTTTTTAATAGTTTCTGCTTTCTTTTTGATTGAGGTTTTCCTCTGATGATTGCTGTTACTTTTTTTGTTTTGGTATGTTTTTTGGTACATGTAATCCAGGATGGGCGAATCCATGGAGACAGTAACTGGATTAATGGTCCCTTGGGGGTATGGCAGGGGAGGTTGGGAGAATACGGGCGTGAAAGTCAATTGTGGGAATGACTGTCCAACTCTTCTGGATCTGATTGAATTATTGAATTGTATATGTGGGTTATGTCCTAATAAAACTTTTTTTTTAAAAGAAAAGATAAGTGGCAAAGCTCACGTTCACATCCACAGACATTGATTGAGCACCTACTGTGTGCGGGGCATTATGCAGGGAAGCAAGAAACAAGATCTTGCTATCAAAAAGCCCCGAATGGAGTGGAAGAAACAAGTAGATTATCAGCAATCTGCAAGTCAGCCCATGATAAGTAAGGTGTTTATGAGTGAAGTAGCAATAAAAATGCCTTTCCAAAGAGGGAATAAGTCATAGCACCCAGGGGGGAGGGGGGGAGCCGGGACAGCTTCCCAAAGGAAGTCCTTTGAGCTGAGTTTTGAAAGACATAACAAAAGCAACTCTTATTGAAGGCCTACCATGTGTGCCCTGGTCTCATATAGTATCTCATGGAAACCTCACACCAGCTTCAAAAGAAGAATCATTACTTGGATTGTACCAATCAGCTAGTAAAATTCAGAGGGGTTAAGAAAACTTGCCCAAAGTCCTGATCCAGATTCCAACGTTCCGTCATTTCTTTAGATTCCAAGATTCCATTTCTTTAAAGAGATGGGAAAACTTACTGCCAACTTTATATAGAAAGCAATGCATCACTAAAGTAAAGCATTACGAAAGAAGAACAACAAAGTGGGAGGCCACTCACTTCCTGATGGCAAAGCCTAGTACAGCCCAGCTTTGGTAGCCCAGAACGCCTGACCGGTACCACGATAGACCCACGGGCCCATGGAACAGAGTTGAGAACCTAGAAGTAAACCCATCCACCTGCGGACCACTGATCTTTGACAAAGGGCCAAACCCATTGGGAAAGAAATAGCCTCTTTTACAAATAGTGTTGGCAAAATTGGGGCCCCACTTGCAGAAAATGAACAGGCCCCAACACCTCACACCAAAGACAGAGAAACAAACTGAAGATGGATTAATGACGTAAGTGTAAAACCCAGAATTAGAAAGCTCATTAATGAAAGACAGGGACAAGTGCATGGCATCGATACACTATAAAAGTTAATGAGAAACACACAGCAGAGGACAAACGAGACGGGGCCGAGAGACCTTCTAAAGATCAGACACTTAGGTGTAGCATACGCTTCCCAAAAAGAGGCATGACAGGCTGGGAACAACAACAAATTGGGTTACGACATATCAGACAAGGGCCTTCTGTGATCTCTATGGTGATCTCTGAAATCTCTAAAGGACAGCAAGACTTCAACAAAAGAAAGAGAAACCATCCCATTGAAAAACAGGCAGAGGACATGAACAGACACTCGGACAAAGAAGACATTGAAGCCACCAGCAAGCATATGCAGACATGCTCACCACCGTTAGCCACTAGAGAGAGGCAGATCAAAGCAGCGCGATCTTATCTCAGCATGCACAGCAAGCTGTTCCCTCCCAGCGATCCCTCTACTCGGTCTGTATCACAGAGAAGAAACCAAAAGAGCCCGACATCAATAGATATACACGCACCCATGTTTGTTGTAGCACTGTTCACAGCAAGAAACAAAACAAGATGGAAACAGCCCTGGATAACAGACGATGGTACCGATACACAATGGAATACCAAGTAACATGAAAAGAATAACAATGGGTCTATGAAATAGCGCACCACATAGATGAACATGGGCAGTGTTATACTTTGTGAAAGAGATCCATTGCAGAAGGATAAAGATCGTATGAGACCACTGGTGTAAAAAGTTAAGAAAAGTCTTTCACACTAAAATAAACAATTCTTTGATGGTCACCAGGGGTGGAAAGGGGTGGGAGGGGAAGTTGCTGGCTGGAAGGTAGACATGTGTTAACTTGGTTGAAGGGAAAAGCAACATATAATCAGAGTGAGGTTAGCAAAAAATGAACGAGGCAGAGAAAGACAGTGAGAGGAGTACAAAAGTGAACGACCACAGAGGTACATTCGGTCTATGAAGAGTCCCGCAAGGGTGGTGATGGGTGAGTAGGTACCTGGACAGACAGGCAGGCTGACGGGGTGAGGGAGGGAAAGTGGGAGTATACATATATATACATACAGATTCGACAGGGGTGTTTACCTTTGCTTCAAATATATCCACGAACGGGGTGGAGCACACAGAAGACACTGTTATGAAAACGTTGCAGACACAACCAAACACACTGAGGGAATGAGTCACTAGAACTGTGGGCTCAGGGTCATCATCTCAGGGGACACCAAGATAGAAGAGAGTCCACAGAGACCGTGCTCTATACCGTACTTGGTGCAGAGTGAGCGATCTAAGTTGTTACTACTGGCCTTTCTCTGTCCAGCGCCAAGAAGAATGATGAACATTAAACACTAATTGTGGGAACAATTAGTCCACTGGTCTAACGGAGCACTCTAATATCCATCTCCAAGACCCTGAGACCAGAAGAACTAGATGGTGCCCAGCGATCTCTATCCATTGCTCTGAAAGGGATCCCGCTGGAAGGTCCTAGGTAGAGCGGAAGAAAAATGTAGAACAAACTTTAAAGGATGTAGAACAAAAACATACAAGAGAGCAGGCTTCCTGGTCAGATAAAAACTGGTAGAACCTCTAAGAGTCTGGCCCTTCGTTGCCTTTTAGGTCTGAAATGGAATTTACCCCTATGACTCAATTTTCAGCCACGGAATACCTTCCCCAAACCAACAAACAATCCATGGAGTCAGTTCCTATTTATAGCCCCTGTAAGTTTCCGAGACTGTAAATCTTTAGGAGCAGGATCAGGAAACCTCATCTTTCTCGCAGAGAGTGGCTAGTGGATTTGAACTACTGATCTTGTGGTTAGCAGCCTTCAGCCAAACAAAAGACAGATGTATAACAGGAATGATGACACTGTGAGATACACACACCTTCGAATAACCCACCACGTACAGTCAAACAGGCAGCATTCACTCAAGGACGAAGCTCAGAGGCGTTAGGAAAGGAGGAGGGCGGGAAACCGGGAACACAGGGAGGGAGGAGGATAAATGGGGTAACATCAGGAGGACGGACTGCGGCCAATGAGATGAAACAAAATTCGTCTGACGTGAACAGAAAAGTGATCCGCTCTGTAAAACGTCACCCAGTCCACAATAAGAAGCGAAAAATAAATAAAAGAGAAAAAACGAAAGAGATTAGGCCAAGTTCACTGAGCTAGTACATGATGGAGCAGGGATTTGAACTCGGGCCTGTCTTCGGTGAAAGTCCACCCTCTGCTCGTCCACACTGCTCATCAGGAGGTCGAGGCCTGGCCTGGGGAAGCACGTGAGCAGGAGCTCTGGGTTGTGAATGGGAATGGCACATTCACCAAATAGCGAGGCCTTGAGTGTACTTGAAAGTGCTGTTCCTTTGAAAGGCTACCTCTGGAATTTGGACCTTACTCTGTAGTCATAGGCAGTCACTACAGACTTTGGGATAAAACACTACATAGAGTAGAGGGTGGGCTGGTAAGAGGGTGAGAAAAGGGGAATTGACCTCGGGTTCGTGGGTGGGGACACTTGGGCTGCATGGGACCAGCGTTGGCCTGAAAGCCAGTAGCAAAGGAATCTCAGAGCAAGAGATTCCTGCTTGGATAGAGACAGGCACAGAAAGGCACCCAACCTCTTTGGATGCTGGACCGTTCCAAAACCAGTGTAGCTAGAGAGAAGCCCTGGAAGGGTCAGGTGGCTTGGTGGAAGGTGCGAAGTCTTGTGTGAGACTTGGTCTTTGGCCGGCACACAATGTGAGTGGCATGATGGAGGGGCTTCAGTGAGAGTTCGTGAAGCCTGAGGCTTTCTCTCACTTCCTTTACCCCAGTGGCTGCAACCCACTGTCCCCACTCTCACCCCAAGCCCTTCTTCCAACAAAACCCAGGGTGGGACTGCCCCGGCTTCACCCTATGTCACTTCCTTGAAATTCCCTCCTCACGCAGTTTCTACTCACATTTTTCAGATTCCTCCAGTGTCCTTCTAATGACCTTCCCTGCCCCACCCCGCCGCTGCCTGCTCTTTCTCAGTGGGCAAGCCACTGAGATGCACTCTCAGGCCCTCAAGCCTCTGGCTTTGTGGACCTGATCTGTGTGCTGATGACCCTTAAATCCACCTCTCAGGCTTGCCTGATCCATCCTAGAGAAGGTCTTCTTGTAGCTGGACCTCTTCACTCAAGTTCTTCATGATCCCTTCATTTCCAACTCCCTCTCTCCCTATTCCCATTATCTAGTCTCTCTAAGCTATAAGTTACCCTTAACATCTTCTCTCTCTCATTCCCTATCACATCAAGTCAGCAAATATTTGTTGTGCATCTACTATGTGTACTGTACTATAGCAGCAGGTTTTGCAAGACAGAATAATCAATTGTCCTGAGACAACCTTCAGATTCATTCCTCTTCCTCTTACCATGGTCTAGTCTCTCACGGTCCACATTTGACTTCCTGAGTCCACCTCCCAGCTGAATTCCCCTACCCGCAATTCCTCTCTGCCATTCCACATGGCAGAATGGTCTTAAAATATTTACAGTCTGGGTGACTCTTAAGACCTTCTATATTCTGGACTCACACTACCTGCCCAGCCTTGTTTTCCATGATTTTCCTGTAGGGACACTTGCTTCCAATGGCATTGGTCTCTCATGAAGACTTCCCAACCCTAAGTCTTCCCCAATACCCACATCTTTGCTGATGCAGCGAGAAAGGGTCTTTCCCATAGAAGGTGCAACTATCGGTCTCTCTCCGTCCAGAACAAAGAAGAGTGAAGGTAGCCAAAGACACAAGGAAACAATTAGTCCAAAAGGCTAATGGACCAGTATCCGTGGCCCTGAGACCAAAAGAACTAGATGGTGCCCGGCTACACCGCTAACCACTCTGCAGGGGATCACAGTAGGGGCACCTGGGTCGAATGGGAGAAAAATGTGAAACAAAACTCAAAGACCATAAAGAGGACTAGGCTTACTGGTCAGACAGAGCCTGGTGGGACCCCTGAGACCATGGCCTTTAGACATCTTTTAAGCCTAAAACTCTCATGGCTCAGACAAGAGGCCTCCAAGGTTAGCCATACCACCAGAGAGATACTCACTCATGACCGCAATTAACCACAGGAGATCCAAAGGGCAGCGTCTGCTCAGGGATAAAGCTGCGAAGGCAGGAAGGGACAGAATGCAGGAAGGGGTCGGTGGTAGACAGAGGGAGGAAGCAGGCGGAGTGCAGTGAAGGTGGGGACTGCGATCCAAGCAAGATGCGCACACACTGTGGACTGGAAGACCAGTGTTCTCAGGTGCGTTCACACAAGTCACAATAAGAAAAGAAAGAACGGAATGAAAATGACAGTCTGGGAAGCCCTGTGGGGAAATTCTACTCTGCCCTACAGGCTCACTCAGCATATACATGTGACACCAAAAGACGCCCTGCCCACTGCCTTGCTTACCCATCTGCTGCCCCTCTTCGTCCCGCTGCTCCCGCTGGTGCTCTTGTTGGAGACCCAGGACTGGGCGCCTAGCACGCACTTCACACGTAGTATACCCAGTCCATATGCCCAGTGTGGATACCCAGTCCATATCAGTCTCCGATTACCAGCTACGAAGTCAGACCTCACTAGCTAAATAGAACTCTCCCCAAGAGGAAAGGCTCCTTAGGGTCACTTTGCTGAGGGTCAACCAGTCAATAACTGGCCTGGGTGGGGGCAGGGTTCAACACCAGGGCGCCTCAGCAGGGGGGGGTCTCTTGACCCAAACACCCTGTCCTCCTCACCATGGCGGCTGCAATCTCCTCCGGGCTGTCCCCATCCAGATCAAATCGGAAGGTCACCATCTTGCTGTTGTGGGTCTGCAGTTGGCACTCCACCACTCTGTCATTCTGATCGGACACCTTCAGAGTCAAAGCAAGTGGAGGAAGGGAGGTCAAGTCCTCTGCCCTCATCGCCTGTCGCTCACCCTCCCACCCTCCCTCTCCCCGTAGCCAAGTGTCAGTGGTCAGACTGGAACTGGAGAGAAGCCAATCCCATGCCCAAATGAGGGTATTAGAATCTAGACGACTGTCTCTTGCATACCATGTCACACATGGCTCCTTGCATTTTCCAGATAGCCTCCCGGCTCCCCACCCCACCCCACCCCACCCCACCGGCTGTCCAGGTTCTTCCTCTCCTGCGTCCTTCCCTTACACTCGTGACCCGCAGCCGGGATCGGGGTCTGCGCCGGAGATTTCTCCCCGGGGCTCTTCTTATCCGCCCCATCCCTTCGCCTAGGTCACTAAGGCCCGATGCCACATCCGAAGCATAGCTGGACAAGAGGAATGAGAGGTGGGTGGTAGCCAAGTGGACCCAAGAACCCCAGCGTCCACTCCAGCTCCCACCAGCACATACCTGTCCATTGGGGCAAAGTCACTGCCAGAGCCAGAACGTGGTATGGAGAGAGCGAAGGCCTGAAACAGGACAAGGGTTTGTGAGACTTGGGGCAAAGAGCCGTGGGGATCTCCAGAGCCCGGGACTTGGATGCTGGGTCCTAGGGAGACAGCACTGGCAAGGATAAGCCTGGTGGGTTACCAGGGATCTGGGGTCAGGTGACGGGGTTGAGTTTTACAAGGAACAAGAAAGCTCAGAGAATCAGAAAGGCTGGAAGCCCCCCAGGTGACCCCCTCTCACCGAGGGCAGGCGGAGATGGGACTCAGCGGGGTTGGATGGCACCCCCCCAGGGGGCTGAAGGGCAGGGTCGGAGGCATCCAGGAAGCCGGAGGAGCTGAGGTAGCCATCAGTCTCGCAATCCGCTGGTGGGGGATGGAGGGGATCAAAAACATGGGGAAACACTGGGGAGTGGGGGTCCAGAAGGGGTCCTGACAGAGCCAGATGGGGTGGGGGAATCCTTCCCAGAGGAAGCTTCCTGGCTAGAGGTGGAGGGCGGGGCAATAATGCTAGGTCGAACTTCTGGATGGAAGGTAGAGGTCAAGGGTTCTGGGACCCAAGTCCCCAGGTGAAGGGTGACTTACAGGTGGTAGATGAGTAGCTGGCATGGCGGAGGAGGAACGGCGGCGGATGCTGGTCTGCCTCAGGCTCCTCGGGCTCTGGGGGGAAGGCAGTGGGGGGTCCAGGAACCTTGGGGGCAGTTGCTGGTGGAGGTCCTGGTGGGGGTGGGAGGGCCTCTAACTCTCGAGCTTGGCGAAGCTTCTCACGCTTTCGCTGGATGGCAGCAACCCGCTCACGCACTGCACGGGCCACTGGCTGGTAATCAGCTTCACAGACCAAGCCCAGAGCCACCTGGAATTGGGGGGCGGGGGCGCGGTTGAGGAGCACAAGTTGAGACCTCCCTCAAAGATCCATCAGGATACCTCATTGGGGTCTCCAGGGTGGATGGGTACCAACACTGATTGAATAACCAGTGTTCATTAACTGGCAATTCTTTACATTATCATTGTCAAACTCCAAGAAACCGTCTGGGGCAGGTCTTAGCACCATTTTCCAGAGATGTAGAGTTAGTGAACTGTGTATGGTTATGTATAGAGAGTCAGTGGTTCTCAGGACTATACACTAAGGGTGGGGAAGAGAGACATTCCCTAGTATCTGGAGACTATTGGGGATAGAGGTCGTACTGATATCTCATGAGTAGAGGCCAGGAATGCTACTAAGCATCCTACAGTGTACAAGACAGTCCCCCAAGCCAAAAAAATCACCCCACCCCAAATATCAACAGCAACAAGGTCAAGGATCCCTGCACAATTTGGTCCCAGCCTGATCTTTTTTGATCTGCACAATGCACACCTGTTCTTAGGCCACAGTTCAAACACATTCTCAGGCTGATCCTCCACAGATGATCCCCACCCTTTCAACGGCCATTTTTCTGTGGCAAAAATCCCACCTTCCCCCCCCCCCCAGACCTTCCTAATCCAGCCTCCCCTGCCATCTTCTACCTCCTATAAACGCCTCTGCGGCCCTCCGTCTTGTCTGTGCCTTCTCCTTATTGGCTCAATAACGAGCTTTAGTGATGGTGTAAGGAGGCGTCACAGAGGGGTTTGCCTTGCAATCTGAATTCCTAAGTTCAAATCCAGCCACTTACTTGCCGCGAGACCTTAAACAACCTCTCTGAGATTTGTTTCCTCATCCATAAATGGAGATGAAATTACCCTCCAAGCATGCTGGTCACAGCAATCAAATGCATGCCAAAGTGCTCTGCGCCACATCCGGGTGAGTGCTATTAACAACTCCTACCATGCGGGCGCCAAGCACTGCCAGAAACACCGTCTCTGCCCTCAGGCAGTTTAAGGTCTAGCAGAGGAGAAAGATCAGGATGGTTTTAGGATGTACTTGGGTAGCTGTGATGGGAGGCTTGGGGGAAATGGAAGGAAGCATTTAATTTTAATTCTAAAGGCCAAGGTTTCCTGAAATTGGTGTTTCTGGAAGTAGAGAAGGAAAAAGGACTAGAGGGGAAAATAAATGGATAAGACAGAAAGGCATTCCAGAAAAATTGATCAGAAAGCGCAAACGCCCCCTGGAGAGCTTCCAGAAAAGGAAATCTACAACTGGTCCCCCTGGCCCCCGCCCAGCCCCAGCCCTCCCCTGCTCTCACCATCTCCTGGGCCACCTCCTCGGCCGCGTCCCGGCCCAGCTGGAACAGAAACTCAATGGCCTGGTTGTCGCGCGGCCGCCCCACGCGCCGCGCGTCCTCCATGCGCAGCCAGAGCTTCAGGCCCGGCTTCTCGCCGTCGTCCTCCTCGGCCAGTTCCACGTGCACGCCGCGCTCCTCGCGGAAGAAGGCGTGCGCCAGGAGGTCCTGGATGGTGAACCTGGGGGCCCCTGCCGCCGTGAGCCGAGCCCCCCGCGGCGCCCCGCGCCCCACCGGCCGGCCCCCTGCACCCACCTCTCGTTCTTGTCCGTGCGGATGCAGCCCTCGATGATCTCCTTCACCTCGGGCATCTTCACCTTGTAGAAGCTGTTCGGCTTTGTGCCCTGCAGGAGGTGGGCGGCCTGAAGCCTGCGTCCCTAGGCGCCCCATTTCTTGCTTAGACGACCCCCACCCGTCCGAGGCAGTGGCAAAGCTTGGTGACCGCGACTGGGAGAGTCGATCTCAAATCCCATTCCCCAGCCCTCGATGGCAGTGTGACCTTGAATGTGGCTCCCGCTGCGCCCGTTTTCTTATTTCTAGAATGCAGGGCATACCCCTTTGCCCTGCTCACCTCCCGGGGCAGCTGGAAAGTAAGGCTGGCTGCGAACCTGTTTGTCACCTCTAGGGAGCGCTACCCAAATCAAGATTCTAAGTGGTTGCCCGGGGGAGGGGTTGGGGGTGGTTAGCAGCGCAGATGCACGCAAAATCCTTCAGGGCGCAGCAAGGCCTTTTTACGTCTAGCCTGTTTTCATGAAGAGAAGGCATTTCGTCAAAGGAAGGGCTGATAGGGCAGGGCAATGGGAGGGGGACCCGGAATGCCTTCAGCCCCCCCACCCCTTCTCACCGAAGTGACCTTGCGGTAGATTTGCGCGGCATTTTGGCACTCGGAGTATGGGTACTCAGAGGTAGCCATCTCTAACATGCACATGCCGAATGCGTACACATCCACAGCCTCGTCGTACTTCTCCTCGTACATCTCCGGGGCCATGAACTCCGGGGTCCCTGTAGGGTTCACAGCAGGAAGCAGGCTGCAAGGCCCCCCTCTGGTCCCTCCTCTTGGGTACTTTATAAACTAGGAACCCCGGGATGCCGGTGGTGACTCGGTGACTCAACAGAGTAAGTGAGTGTGAGAGGGAGGGAGAGAGAGAAAGAGAAGGGTGGGGGCGGGCGTGGGTCCCATAGCTTTCCCCCCTCTACCCCATGATTTTCTAGCTCCTCAGATGTCAAGGGACTATGCGTGTGGGGGTTGGGGTCCCCAGAGCGGGAGGTAGAAATGGTGTGAGGACGCACCGATGACACTCTTGGCGAAGGAGGCGCGCTTGAGCGTAGCCAGGCCCAGGTCCCCAATCTTAACTGAACCCGAGGGGCCGGTGATAAAGACATTGTCACACTTGAGATCCCGGTGCAAGATGGGGGGGACTCGAGAGTGTAGGAAATGAAGGCCCCGCAGGATCTGCCGGCTCCAGCGCTGAAGGACCCGAGGTTTCATCTCTCGGAACCGCCTCAGGTACCTGGGGGAAGGTGCACACAGCACAGGCAGGGTCCAGGCGGGGAGGTGAGGGGAGTAGGGGTAGGGGGCCTCACCAGCAACCCTCCCTCCTCTTACCCCACCCACACCGCCACCTGCGCAGCTTCTCCCAACCTAGCGCCTGGGGCAGGGAGAAATTGAGTCTGAGCGTGGGGTAGGTAGACACACTAGGCTTCCAAACCCACAGGGAGGTAAATGGACAGATAGGGCTAAGGCCAAGGTGCTGTGGAGGCCGGAAGGGATGATTAAGTTTCCTGAGTGAGCTAGGGGGAGCTCTCCACAGAGGAAATAACTTTTGTGTTGAGCCTTCAAGGTTGAGTTGGAGTTCAAGGGTGAAAGGGGAAGGGATGGAGACTTTCCAGACAGAGGGGACACGGTGTTCAAAGGCAGGGGGAGGGAGCTGGGAGGGGGGGCAGTGCTGGAAATTAAATTCGGTCTGTCCAAACCTTAGGCTGAAAGTGAGCAGGGTAGCCAGTGTGGGCTTGATGCCTAGGGTTGTGGGAAGGGCTTTTTGCAGGGTTTTAAAGAGCAGGGTGAGGCGGTCGCATTTGGGATTGAGAATGATGGTCTGATCCCCAGTAGGGTCCAGAAGGCAGGAGGTCTTGAAGGAGGCAGAGTAGGGACTAGACCACAGGAGGCTGTTATGGGTGGGCAGTGGAAGCTGAGAGGCCCGGGAGTAGGTGAGGCAGAGTGAGGAGGGAGAGCCAGGGGCCTGGGGCAGAAGCCCCGATTTGTGGTGGAGTCCTGGGTCAACTCGAAGTTGCCGCTCACTGGGGCACAGCCACAGGGCGGGTAAGTCGGGTAAGTCGGGTTTGGACCCGGAGGATGATCGGAATACAAGGAAGCTGGGGAAAGTTAGGAAGCAGTGGGGCCACTTCCCAGCCCTCCCCGAGTCAGACGCAGAGCTCACGTCTTGAGCGTGCCCGAGGTCATGAGTTCGGTGACCAGCACGATGCAAACCTGGCCCCTCAGCACAGACTTCCATGAGTCGTAGAAGCGGACGATGTTGGGGTGCTGCAGCCCCTTCAGCATCTCCACCTCCTCCGAGAAGCGCTGCCGCTCGGCCCGAGACAGTTTCCGAGTCTGCGGGATGGAGGAGGGGTCCCCTCAGGCCCAGTACCCCTATGAAGAGGGATGGGGCACACAAGGGCAGGGCTAGGTGAGAAGTGAGGGCTGGTGAAGACATGTTGGTGGGTTGGAGGGATGGCCAGCCCAATGGGTAGGGACCCCGAACTTCAGAACTTCAGTTTAGGCCACTTGGGGTGGCTGCAAGGACACGCCCACCTTGGACCCCTGCTGGACACAAGTGCTTTTTATACAGCCCAGGTCTAGGAGCCCAGAGCTCAATAGCGTCTTTGTGGCTGCTCAGCCGGCCATGGGGCGGGAGGGGGCGCCCAGGGGCTGGCAGCGGACAGGCAGCAAGCCGGCAGGGGACAGGGAGGGAATTGGGGCCTGGAAGGGGGCTGGCCCCATAACTTAGGCACTGCTAGATCCAGACAGGAGGTGGGAATACTGTGGAGGGAGGCGAAAGAAAGAAAGACAGGATCCAGGACCGGGTGCCAGGAGACTACTCACCCCTCTAGCTGTCTGGCCAGGTCTCATCCTCCTCCCTGCTCCCCCCCTCGCTCCCCCTGCCCCCACCAGGTTTGGCAGCCTCTCTTGGCCCAGAGTCCAGGGCGTGGCACTGGCAGGAGCAAGGGGTGAGCTGTGTTCCAGGGCTAGAGGGAAGGACCCTTACAGGCTCCAACGCCAGGATTTGACTGGTTATTCCTATGTGAAGGTGAGCGCGGAGCATCTCTCTAAAGCCCGTTAGGTTCAGCACCTTTGGGCTCCTGAAGGAAGAGCCCAGGTCATCAGTGGACTGAGGAACAGGGCTGGACTCAGACCAATCTCCTAATCCCTCCCCACCAAAGTCTGCCCCAGAAGGGCTCTCCCAGTGACTCGTGTTGTCACACAGTCCCCAGCCTGTGTCTCCGAGAGGTGGAAGGGAGCCTGCCCCCACTCCTGGCCTCCTCCAGGGTCTCACTGAGGGTCTCAGCACCAAGGGAAAGGGGGTGATAGAGTGGATCCCAACGGCAGGAGATGGGAACGACCACCTACTTTCCCATCATTACCTCCACCTCTGGGCAATGAACACGGAAATGGGGAGGGGTAATGGCTTGTCCCCGGGGGAGCACCTGCACACCACCTGCCTCAGTTTCTCTTGCAGCCCAGAGTCAAGAGGGCTCATGGATCGTCAAAGCAAGGAGAGCAGGGGGAAAACATATCCCTTCCTTGCGGCTGTCCCAGGTCCCAGCCCAGGACACGCAAAGAATCCCATTCCCAGGTGCACCGAGGGGGCGCCCGGCCGCACCTGCAGCTCACACCAGGCCACTTCCACCGTGGTGTCCGTGTCCAGCCCTCGATACACCGTCTTGAAGGAGCCACGTCCGATCTCTATGTCAAACTTGAGGTATCGGCCATCCGGGGATGTGGCCACAGCCTGCGTCTCCGTGTCCTCCTTCTCCTCCAGCTCCCGGCGCCGCTCTCGGGCTGTGGCTTCGGGGATCCTGAGCGGCTCCCCAGAGCCCGGGACCCCGGGGGAGCCCGCGACCTCAGAGAGAGACGAGGCTGCCGCCTTCGCGGGGGCTCCCTCGGCCCACGTGCTCTCGGGGGGCTCTTCGGAGCG